TTTTCACCTTCACTTTGTGCCGTGTACAAAGTTTGAATTTCGGTGGGAGAAGTAGAGGGGAGAAATAGGGRCATATATAGGGAGGCGTAGCGAAGAAAAGGCAGATGGGGCCCATTGCTAAAACTTAATACATTAGCTAGTGGCCTGCCCTGGCTGAGCCTGAGAACGCAGTACAAAGGGGGAGTCGAATCTGTGGATCACGCCGCCTCAGCCACACGATGCGAAGCTTCTCCCATGCCTGGACGCAACAAAATATCCACCACACTTCTTTCTTTTTATTTTAAAATCTCGCCTACATTTTTATTTCGATTTCAATATTCACCATAAAAGTAAAAAGTAATCTTTACCTTTACCTTTACCTTTACCTTTACCTTTACCTCTATTTAACTCCTTTTGTGAGACTTAAATTATCAATTTGGTTTCGATGTAATGGTTTTCATTTCATTTCAATTTAATTATATTTGAATTTTAAATTCATCTGTATGATTTTGTTAATCCTCACAAAAATTGTAATATTGTTAACCCTAATGCAATTAATTAGTTAACATAGCTAGCAAAATAAATAACATCCACCTCATTACCATGTAAATAAACATATGTCCCTATTTAATATTGTAACAATTTCTGACATGAATAGTTTGCGAGATTGGATTATAAAATAATTCCCTTAAATTACAGGGATTTCTTTTTAGTTCAACAACATTTTTTCTTGGGAAGGAAATCATCTCATTCAAAAGGTACGTGAGAAACATACAAAATGGGACTAAAAGAAAACACTCCAATTAAGCGAAATGATCGATATGTGTCTTAACTAGTTAATCCATTCAGTTACAATAATTTCATAAATCTAATCAAGGATATAGTTGCAAATGCAACAACCTCATAGTTTAAAATTGAACTAAAATTTAGGGTTTAGAGTTTAATTGTAACAACTTTATGATTAAGGCAGAGCAACTTTTATATTTTAGGGTTTTAACATTCTTTTACAACTTTTATAGAAATTAGTTCTATCTCCTGAATAAAAGGTACGTGGTTCTCCATCTGAATTTTTTTTTTTTTTTGGGTGGGAAAAAGTAATTATGTACTTAAATACGAGGAAACAATTAAAATTTCACCTATGCGGGAAAAAATAATTAAAATGTCCAAAACTAAATATGAAAGAGAAATGGAATATTGTAATTTAGGAGGGGGGAATAGAAAGAGACGGAAGGGACCATATACGCGTGCAAAACCACACAGATATATATATTTTATATAGAGAGAGAAGGTAATTAATTTGGTAAATTAAAATTTAACTATAAAATACCTTATTTTATGCATAATTAATTTCTCAAAATATCTTCTCCGATGTCACGAGATATTTTTGCTGACGTACCAAAAAGACCATCTTATTTTCTTCCATTTCTTTTATAAGACTTCTCTCTCTTTCTCAAGGAAAAAAGTGTAAAGGCAACAATTTAAAATTTGCTAAAGATATTCTTTTTTTTTAAGTACTAGTTTTATTTTGTTATTACCGGGTACTATTTTTTTTAATTAATTATTAGAATAAAAATGCGTTTGGGTAGTTTTCTGAATCAGGGTTTCAAGCGTCAACTATTTTTTTTTTCAGTATTTTTTTTATATGATAGTAGAATTAGGTTGTCTCCCAAAAATATTTCTTTTAAAGTATTTATTTTTTAATCTCCAATTTAAACGGGGATATATTAAGTAAGCTATAATTCAACAAATTAAGGCATGGTCTCAACATTATTTCTTCATTTTGGAGCTATTTTAATTAAGGTAACCTTGTCACAAAAGGTTTTATATGGGTATAATAGTGCAAGGTGTTAGGCTAGTTCATAGAAACCTAACTAATAACATGAATTTTAGTTAATTCTAAATATTAATTCACTCAATAAGAAAGATCAATGTTACTCTAATCAAAATAGCACGAGCATTTTTCTTTTACATTAATTGTAATAGTACATGCTAATGTATATATACATTTTTGGGATAAAAAAAATTATCATCCTTACCAATGAATTAAATGTGCACTATATTAATTATTAGGGAACTAATAGTCCATAATTTATAAAAGATTTTTATTTTTACAACCATACTATTCTGTAAATTATATTTAGAAGAGTGAAATATACCGACACATAAAAATGGAAGGATCCATATTTAAGAAGCATTTGACTTGCAATTTTGTTTAGATTTATTAACCTTGAATCCACGGTGTCATAAAAACAGCATAATTGGATTGGAAAATAAATAATTAGCACGTAGTAGTACAATATAAACGCAAAACAAAAAGATGCTAGTGTTATTTTAATTAGAGTATTGAAGATCTTTCCCTTCCACTCCCTATGATCAATCATTTACAGTCGAACTAACACACCTTGTCACATGTGACAAGATTTTTACCTTAATTCAACATATAAATATCGTTGCTATAAGTTACCTTTGGCGACGAGATTAATTTCGTCGTTGAAGGCCTTATGTTGAAATTTTTTAAACGCACGGCTTTATTTGAAGATGAGGTTTAACTTCGTCGTTAAAGGTGACTTATTGTGACGAAATTATTTCGTCGCTAGAAATTTTAGAATTCGACTGTCAATAAAGTTTTCACACAGATTTTTTACCACGAAACTTATTATTCTGTCATTAGAAGTCACTTTTACCGACGAAATTAAATGTAGTCGTTAAAGGTCTATTGTAAAAGATTTTGAAACGCACGACCAATTTAGCAACAGAATCTTATATCGTCGCCCTACCTTACCTAATATATATGCATTATTTGGTTTAATTGGGAGATTGGAAAATATTTATATTGGATGGATCATTTCAAAAATACTTTAAACATTTCCACACATTTTTGGAAGACGTTACCATTAATCGATAATAAAATAAATAGTCTTTTTCTTTTTTGTCTTTTTTTGACAATATTCTTTTTGTATTTTGTTAATTTCTAGTAAAAAAATTATTGAATTTGAAACTAACTAAAACTTGACAAACTAAAATAGAACTTTTAAAATTTTATGAGTTAAATTAGGAACCAAAATTATATTTTAATCTTTTCAAGAATAATTGTTCTCAAAGCCTAACTTTATTTGGTTTAAGCTAATTTCTAAAAATAACTATAAATATCTTATTAATGCTGTAATTGGAGACCATGTACTTTTCGTTGTTGTTAGATTATTATTCTTTTAGTTTTATTTCATTATTCAAATTTGGTTTATTCGTATTCATCTCATTCAAATTGTATTTAAAGTTTATTTGACTTGAGATTTCTTAGTGAAATCTAACTTAGGATCATTAGATTAGTCTTTTACTAACGTTTTCTTAATATAAGTTTGTTATTAATAATGCATTTTTAAGTCAAAGTGCACTATTTAATAAAACTCCAAGCTGTCGTGATTATTATTCTATCCTATAACTATTTCCATATAAGAGTGTTTTTTAAACAATAAAAAGTACTATGACAGAACATCAAACTAATTTATTTTGCGTCCATCACACACTAACGTGAGTCGAGAACACAATTATACGTTTTAGTTTAAATATTATTCTTGGTCGTATATTTTCAACTTTTATTCGATCAATTTTTTTACTTTCTAAAATGTTTATTTTAGTCGGTATATTTTCAACTTTTAGTCTCTGTGCTTTTTAAGTATCTATCATAATCTTATACTTTTAAAATGTGACTGTTTCTTACTTATCTTATTTTTCTATCAAAATTTCAGCACTAACACTAACATACCACCTAAAATTCAAGTCACATAAATGTAAAAACTTAACTACAAAATACTTGAATCTAGCTAAGTAAAATAGCACCAAAATTCAATAAGAAAATTTCTAAATTCAACCAAAAAGTGTCCAATGAAAAACCAACACCCACTAGTATATTATCCATCAAAAACATCTCTTAAAAATATAAACTTAAACTAATTGATGGTATTGATTTATTATCTTAATTAAGGTTGTGATTTGATGGAATCGAAAGTTTAAGATTAAATTAATTTACTGAATCAAGTAATAAAAAAAATGATTTTCCCCAAAAGACTATCAAACTA